CCCAGACAGCCGCTCTCCCGGACAGGACCGGCGCCGCGCCCCACCCCAAACTGCGAAAGCGTTCCCGCCGTGCCGTCCCCCCCACTGGAACCCAGCGTGACGGCACAGGGTATGGAATACCGGGCTCTGTTTGGCCAGGTGGGGTCAGCCCCCACCCCCGGCTGTGCCCCTTCCTGGAGTCCGGTGAAAATTAACCCTGTCCTGGCCAAACCCAGGACACCCTCAGTTGACATTCTGCCCCATTCTCTATCAGCCTCTACTGTCACAATCATCTCTCCTTTTTCTTCTGGTTGAAGTACCACCATCTCAAGCCTGCCTTCTCTTCTACAAAACCCATCATAAACCATTTAAAAACCTTCCCGCAAAGCAGCAGGACCCAACCCGTTCATCTCCTTGAAACCAGGTATCGGTTTGGGGACCTTTCTTCCAGACCTGTCCATGCAGCTTGCTGTAATTCAGCTGCTGAATCGAGATTAATCCTCAGGGTTACTGGATTGTCCTGTGCATGTATTCTTGAGGAGGAATTAGGACTTCTAAAGCAGAAGGACCTGGATAGATGGGTGGCTTGTTGTTGCCAGGTTGGTGGCCAGCAGAGATGGGAGGAGAAGGTAGGTGAGTCATGGAGGTGTTCAAAATGATACGGCACTTCAGGACATGGTTTAGGAGGCATGGCGGTGATGGTCTGACGGTTGGACCTGATGATCTTAGAGTTCTTTTCTAACCTTAATGATTCTATGATGGAGGGCCACGGCCACGCCAGCAAAGCACAGAACTCCTACAGAGGAGCATGGACAGGGGATGGGGAAGGATGCTGGCTTTGTGGCTTCAGGGTAGGTCATGTTGAGTTCCGGAGACAGATTCTTGCTAAACAGGGTTTTAAAGTCTGTGACAAAAGGAGTTAGAGATGTGCGAGATAGAAGATGAAACAGAGATAGGAAATAATTAGAAGAGCAGGGGAAGGAGAGCTCAGGGTTGAGTAACCAGTCAGGTTTTGTGCTGGATATAAATTAACTGGGATCGTATCTCCCGGATCTAAACAGAGGGACTGAGTGGAAAACGAAGCCAGATTCCTCCGGCTTGCATCTGAGATGCCTCCACCGAGAGAATCATTGTGGCAGTATGGCACCTCAGAGGAGAGGAGAAAGTTAAGATTTGTAAGATTTGAATCACACCCCTGAAAAGTCTCTTTCTCTCCTGCGTGCTCTCTCTCTCTCTATCTCTTGTTGATTAGAGAGTTAATTGATCTAGTTAGGAGAAATCTCGGCCACAATCTTGTTTGGTTCTTAAGTGCTCATTAATTGCAATGGAGTAATTGAAATTTAATTGGAGTGAGATAAGGTGTGGTGTTTGGCCTGGTTTTTAATTCCGTGTTTGAGGTGTTTGCTCGCGACAGACTGAAGCCGCGCTGACGCCAGGCTGATGGGATGCGGGCTGAGGTCTGCGGCGACCCTGGAATCACCGATGGCTTTTACCCTCACGTGCGTCAGGAGGTGGACTCACAGCTGTGTAACGATGCCAAGTGAGCAATCGGTGTTAGAAACAGTGAAGACTGAATTTGCCGTTCCGAAAGGCTGCCTGCTTCGCGGCGCAAATTTGATTTTGCTTCTCTGATCCTGATTTTCAGCTGCCCTGGGTTCTGGCAGACCGGCTGTGTTTAGTCCACCGCGAGCTGGTTTGGGGAGGAATTATCGTGTTAAAAGCAACATTTGTTTGTAGCGCTGGCAAGGCTTCCATTCCTCCTGTCTCCACACAGTAAATTTATGTTCTTTACCGCAAAACAACTAAACACATGGGGTTTGAGTGGGACTTTTTTGAATTGCAAGGCCTAAACAAACAAATAAAGGAGGAGAGAAAGAGATCCTGATGAATGTCAGTGCTGTCGGAGAGAAAGAGATACTGGTGAATGTCAGTGCTGCTTCCCTCTATGCTTTATAACGGGTGGAAGAGAAACTTGGACATGACTGACGATGAAAAAGATGAAATGTTTGCATGTTCTTTTAATGCTTGGAAAGATTTTGTAGAAAATCCTTAGGTTGTAACTTAGAAGATCAGTCTGCCTTCTTGAAAGTTGATTATGTGTAGATCTGATTATAGAAAGGTCTTCTAAAGTATTCAGGCTATATTTAAGATAATGAAGTTTTGTTCCTTAATCTAATTTTGGCTTCCATCTGGAAGAAATTAAAAATCCAAGCCATGCATCATTTCATTCCTTAAAAACGTCTCATACCTGCTGTGCTCTCCTTGCATGCGTCTCAGATGTGAATATACAGCTGGGCCAGGGGATGATGGACCGCCAGCTGTGACAGAGGGGGAGAAGGGTTCCCTGCCACGCTGACCCGGGCTCTCTGCCCTCCTCCATGGACTGTATAGGCCTAGTGTTAAAGGGATCTATTTTTTTTTCCTCTCCCCATGTCAGGATTCTGCACGACATTGCATCTGAGCTGTGTACGTCTGCATGCAGGCCATGGTCCTGTGTAAGGTCTCGCTGCAATTGCTGTTGTCTCCCTGTCTTGGTGAAATAATGTTTAGAGATGAGACCAGTACACCTTTGTGGTATTGCATTATACGAGCATATAAATGCTTGTGTACATGTATGTGTAATAATGTAATACATGATAATTTCTTCTCCGAAGAGTTTGCAATTAATAGCTGAATGAAATGGGTTTGAGAGTGGTTATCACCGGGCGAGATTAAGAGCTAAGATTTTGAGTGGTACTGACAGATTTTCTATTTTATTAGGGAAACATAACCTTTATTGAGAAGGATATATTCTCTCTGAAAACAACCTTTATTTTTTTTTTTTTAGATTTGGAATTTAAAAAATCTAAGCATTGAATCCAGAGTTCAGTGAATTTTTGACCATTTTAATTTCTACATTTTGTCCTAACCTGGTTTTAATATGCTAATAGACATAGTTTCTTTCCTTTCTCTTGCCCAGGCCACAAGATTTCATTGTCAGAAAGCTGTTGGAGAAACTCAGCTTAAATTTTCTTGCTGCAGTAGCCCAAGTCATTCTGTCCTCCCTGGTATTTGCACTGGTGCCAGTTGCACGGGTCACCGCAGAAGGTTAATATTTGCTAATGGCAGTTCTGCTCTGGGTTTGTACCTAGTGAATGCTGGCTGACTGCAGCCCACGGCATAGTGCTAGCTCACGTTAGTATTCCAGTATGTTCTCTCCACTCATTTATGGACTCTTGTGGTCATAGAGCCTTCCTCCTTTTTCTTCCTTCTGGCTGCCACAAGGCAATTTTGGGTTATTATCACGGTGTTAGAGCCAAGTGTCTTATCTAGCATGTACCTGTTTCTTTTACAACAGATGGCCTTCAAATATGAGCGTTAGTTCCACTCCCTCTGTATCTGAATGATTTTCTTTTCCTTTTCCCAGGTGCGGTATAAAAAATAAAAACAATGTTTTCCCGATTAAGAGCAGCCGCCGCTCCCTGTACGATGGCATGTCGCAGCGCACATACGAAAGAAAAAGGGAAGCCCCTGATGTTAAACCCACGGACAAACAAGGTTGGTAGTGTGCGATTATCAAATATCTTATCTTTATCCGGTAATCGTACAACGGACCTTGTTCCAGGATTAAACCACCTCCGGGAGGTGTACTGGGCCACAGCCAAAAAAGGGTGCAGAAGATGGAGGAGTCAGTGACCGTTTGAAGTTTACTGCCTGGACACCAACAGTACGAGGGCTTCCAGTGACACCTTCTGCTTCTGTCCACCTGCACTTCCCCTGGCTTGCTGCGCTTTACACCATCAGCACTGCTGCTTCCTTGTGCCAAACGAAGGGTCACTGGTTCTTGCTGATTACTGGCGTAGTTTTTTGGGTTGGTTGAGTTGAAGTAAAGCTTTAGCAGATGAAAAGTCTTATTTCGTAGTTTGCAAAAGTTATTTCTGAATTCAGCCTTGCTAGTGATAGAAAGTCTTGGCTTCTTTGTCCTAATCATGGCTTTTTCCTGCAAGACTGTAAATTGGGACTGAGCCATATAGGTAAGAAACATCCCCGTGCAGAGTCAGACAGAGAGCATCTAAAAATAAGCCTTGCGTAGAGCTAGCTGGGAGGTAGAGCGTCATGTTAACACCACACATCGGGAGGAACTTCTCCTAAAAAAGTAGCTTTTTTCCCCTTCACAAAAATTTTCCTGTTTGCACAACCCTATCCTCAATCTCTTTTATTTCCCGGAGTAGTAGTAGCCTTTGGGAATACTGCAACAATAAACGTGTAAAGTAAAACTAGTAAGAAATGAGATGAGGGCTTTTGGTAGCTCATCCAGGGTGTCTAAAATGGCCAAGAAAGGTGACAAATCTAGCTGCCTCTGACAGGGTATTTCATGAGCTATGGAGCTGCGGACGCTGAACTTCCAAAATTTTGTCCTATCTTTTTAATGTCTGGCTTTTCTCCTCTTCCTCATTCTCTGGTTTTATTTTTCCCCCCTCCTGTAATGCCTTACGTTTCCCCTTCACTGTAAATTTCCTTTCCTTCCTTTTCTGCCCCGGGCCCTGACTCCTTCTCTCCCGCTGTATTCTTAGCTCCTGTCCGTGTCCCTTTTGCTTAGACGCAAAGAAGCACGTGCTGCTGTGAGCTGGCCAGCTGGCATGGCTCTTTCCTCTTCATAGCAAAATCTTTTTTTTTTTCCCCCTTCTCTTTTCTTTGTCCCTCTCTTTTTGTCAGAATTAGAAGTTGGCGGTGGGCTCGAAATACCTGGGGAGGATATTAAGCTAGGAACTGCATCTGCATCTCCTTGTGTCCTGCCCATAACTACAGGGGGAATTATTCATGTTTCTTTTGGCAAAAGCGATTCCCGAGTGTCCTGAAAAGAAAGGAAAAAGCCTTGCTGCAGACCTGTAGTTGTGTTTCTTACGATTTCTTGCACGATGTAGTGTAGTGCGAGATGCCTTGATACTGCAGGAAT